GGGCAGCAGGAGAGGTGGGAGATGGACGCGTCTAGGGGCCATGTCCGTGGAAGGAAGCTGGGCCCAGGCGATGTGGCAGAGGGACTGGAGTGAGACTTGCCCGTGTGAGGCCAGAGCTCCTGCAGGGCGGTGCCAGCCTGGGATGTGATAACAAACTGGGGAGCAAAGCAATCCCTGGAGAGATTAACAGTGGGGGACAGGGGACAGGGGAAGAAAGGTAGGTGGAGGCCACGGGACAACGGGGGAAAGGAGGCGGAATCCTCGAGATTTGCTTTGCCAAGGGGGAATGGGGAGGAGAACAGGGGGTTTTGGTCTCCTCAGGAGGCAGGGAGAAGGCAGGGAGGCCAAAGCAGTTGATGACATTTTTCAATTAAAAAAAATTTTTTTTCAGCACCACACTCAGGGGAGAGAGGCAACCTGGGAGATTTAATTTTGGCTCTCAAATATTAAAATTTTAGAGCCAGTATCTCAGGTTCTGAGGATGATGAGCCCATATTTGAAATCATGATGGCCACATAAAGAGCAGAAAATCACACAGTCCCAGTTCCTACTGAAGAGGAACCAGCCTCGGGTCCTCTTCACTCATGAGAAGGCTTAGAATGGTGCTCTTAGTCACACACGCCATTTATCACCGCTCAGACTGCAAAAGGTCTGTTAAAGCAATCAGGACAGAGAATGATCATTTGAACTACTCTGCTGGTTAACTAATCAGTTCACTTCGGTGAGAACTGCAGAAAACACAAGGAAGGAAGCAAAGGAATTTCCTAGCCTTTGCTGATCAACTCTCCCCTGTTCTCTTTCCCCTTTCCTTCCTCAACTCCCCTCATGTTGGTTTCTAAACGAGCTCTCACTCTCCTCTGTCCTAACAAACAGATCCAGAGGCAACTTCAGATCTGTAACATCTGTGACCACTCTCTAAGCCTCACACCTCTAAGAGGTCCTTTGGAACTGTCACATATTAATCCTTCTAGGATAGGCGTTTGCAGCCTATGGTATGCAGCCCGAATCTGGGCTGTCACCTGTCTTTATATGGTTTGTGCACTAAGAATGGCTTCTACATTTTTAAGTGGTTAAGAAATAATATTTTGTGACATATGAAAATGACATGAAATTCAAATTTCAGTGTTCATAAAGTTTTATTGGCACTCAACTATGTTCATTTGTTTACATATTGTCTATCACTGCTTTCCAACTACAAAGACAGAGGTGACTAAGTAGGACAGATTGTGTATGACCTACAAAAACTAAAATACTGGCCTGACTGAAAAAAGTTTGTGGACACCTGCTCAAGGATATTGTACTTTCCTTTAAAATAGAATTGAGTTGCCTGGAATTCCTCTTTTCTCCAACAATACTGAAGAAAAGAGTTCCTGCTACAGGTAATATCATATTCATAGACATAGCATCCCCATGAAATAAACAGCATCTCTATGATTAGGTAGGATCAGATATTTAAAAAAACAACAACAAAACAGCAGGACTCAACGTATTTCATCTTAAAATTTCAACAATAAAAAAAGACTAAGGAAGTGCTCTGTGATATGTGTGAACTCAGAACTTAAATAAGGCCATTGACAGAAATGACCATAACAGCTGTTTCTTTCCCAAGAAAGCAAGCATCCTATATAATCCTATATAATAAAAGGCTAATATGCAAATTAACTAAATGGCGGAACGACCAGTCGCTATGATGTACAATGACCACCAGGGGGCAGACGCTCAAGGCAGGAGCTGCTCCCTGGTGGTCAGTGCACTCCCACTGGGGGAGTGGTGTTCAGCCAGAAGCCAGGCTCACGGCTGGTGAGGAGCGGGCCTAAGCTGTCAGTCGACATCCCCTGAGGGCTCCCAGACTGTGAGAGGGCGCAGGCCGGGCAGAGGGACACCCCGCCCCCCAAGTGCACGGATTTCATGCACCGGGCCTCTACTCGTAAATAAAGCAAAGAAAGGGCCAGTCTCCTTTCCTGATAAGATTCATCTATTGGCAAAGATCCTAGAACCACACAGGGATCCTGCACACCTGGTCCACTGACCTCACCCACTTAAGTTTCTCTCAGTCATGGAGAGACAGGCCACAGAGGGAGTTGGGAAACAGTTCTGTGCCCTCAACCCCTCTTTTGAGTTTCATTTTTAAGCGACTTCACTAGGTAAAAAACTTACGTACTGATTATTACTTGAAAATCAGCTGAGCAAAGACTCCCAATTTATTCTACTTTGGAATTCCCCTGTTCCAGTCCTTGGTAGACATGATATCCCACAAGCTGAAAAAAACGTAATGATGCCAAGCTGCAATAGTTTTATAGGATGAGTAGAATGCACTGCCATCTTTCAAACTTTCAGTCTGTAAATATTAGTCAATCATTGATAGGAAATAGAGCTCATCCAAAAACACACCACCAACCAGGCATTTAATTTCACTCCAAACAGGAGGTAGATAATTTACTTCTATGGGTAATCTCAATCCATCAACATGGGCAGATTCATAAACTGAACGACACACACAACTTGTAAACATCCTGTAAAATATAAACAGTCCACTGCACACTATGTCTGCGATTGGAGCCACTTTGCACCTAGCTATTAATCAACCTGCTCTGGGCTGATGACACCCCCTGGTGGCTACCAGAGGAACTGTTTGATTCTAATTCCACCTCATTGCCTTTACACTAGCCCTTAAAAGATTTACTCACATGCCAAGTTCCCTTTTCTCTCATTTCCATTGGAGAGAATCTTTACCGTACACCCCCTCTTTTGCAATACATGCATTATAAAAGCAACAACATTACCGAGGTATTATAAAAATGAAAATAAATTCAACTATAATTTCTGTTATGTTCCAGCCACTATTAACATGTCTGTATACCTTTAATTTTTTTTCATGTAATTGAAAAACTGAATGTTTTTCACCAGAAATTTAAATGAATCTGTTTATTTCTACACCTCAAACTTATGTTTTAGAGTCTGCATCATATTCCCTCAAGTGGGCCCATCATATTTTCCACCCAACCATACTCTGGCAACTGAACATCTATGCTGCTTCTAGTTTTTCATTTTTTAGACTCATTATACAGTAAACAGCTTCACACCAATAGTCTTTTTCTTGTTTTGATACTGTTTCTTTAGTGTAGATTTTTATGGAAGTAGAATTACTGGATTAAAGTTACCTATATATTTTAAATATTCTGCTTTACTTGTGAAATAGATAATAGACAAAGGGAACACACACTGATAGTGGGAGAAAGGACAGCATGAAGAAGAGGTAGTGTGAAGGGATAATAGAGGAGGAATGTGATGGCCCAACTTCTACCTGACGGGAGCTCCTGAGGGAGAAGAGCAAACGTTCCAACCCATGTCTTGAGCCCTGACCTCTTTGGAAACTCAGACTGGAATATCCAGTTCCTGTGGACTCCACCCCTGGGTGCCTAACAGGCTCTGCAGGTCCCCTGTGTTGTTAGCCAAGACCATAGGCAGGGGAAGTGAAGGAGCCACACTGGTCACTCCCTGGCCACTGAAGCCCCAAAAGGCGGGAGAGGAGGACAAGCCACTGTCCATGCACGGTACAGTCTTGAGTGTTTTGAGAAACCAAATCTGTTCTATACCATCCACAGTCATTTAAAATTTATTGTTTTTACAAATTGTGGTAAAATACACATACAATTGACCAAGTTAACCCTTTCCAAGTGTACAGTTTGGTGGCACTGAGTATATTCACACCGTTGTGCAACCATCACCATCAGCCATCTCCAGAGCTTTTTTTTCATCTTGCAAAATGGAAATTTTGTATCTTAACATGCCAGTCTTTTTAGATTTGGGCTCACGTCGCTGTTTATGAGGAATTTACACAAATACTCTGTTTAAGGGGATGTTTGATATATCAGGTTTTCCTGGTTCGTGAACAAAACTCAGACACAGCCCCACCCAGGGGACGAAGCAGAGTCAGTGCCCAGGTGCCCTGAGCAGTATCATTCCCCAGAGTACTTCACATGCAACGTGATACAGTCAGGAGAGAGCCCTTGACTGCACTTTCCCTCCCAGCCCTGAAGCCACTTCTCAAATCTTCCTCAGCTCAGTAGATGGTGTCACCATCCATCTAGACCAGGGGTGGGCAAACTTTTTGACTCGAGGGCCACAATGGGTTCTTAAACTGGACCGGAGGGCCGGAACAAAAGCATGGATGGAGTGTTTGTGTGAACTAATATAAATTCAAAGTAAACATCATTACATAAAAGGGTACGGTCTTTTTTTTTTTTTTAGTTTTATTCATTTCAAACGGGCCGAATCCGGCCCGCGGGCCGTAGTTTGCCCACGGCTGATCTAGACACTCAAGAACAAAAACTAGAACTCAGCTTCAATGCTTTTCTTTTTTCTTTTTAAAAAATATTTTTATTGATTTCAGGGAGGAAAGGAAAGGGAGAGAGAGACGGAAACATCAATGATGAGAGAGAATCACTGGCCGGCTGCCTCCTGCATTTCCCCCCAGTGGGGATTGAGCCCGCAACCGGGCATGTGCTCTTGACCTGAATCGAACCCAGGACCCTTCGGTCCACAGGACCCTTCTATCCACTGAGCCAAACGGGCTAGGGCAGCTTGTCTTTTCTTGTCCCCCACACCCATGCCAGCAGCAAGTCCTGTTAACTCTTCCTCTGAAACAGCCCCTATGTCTCCTTCTCTCCATCTCCTCTACCACCTCCCTGGTCCACCATGCCATGGCCTTCCACGTGCCTCTCACCCCCACTTCCTACCCAGTCTTCCCACTTCCCCTCTCGCTGCTGGGTCATTGTCCAGTCCCAATACAGCCATCGCAGTGAGCTTTGAGAAATCACCTTTAAAACACCACATTCCGCTGGCTGGTGTGGTTCAGTAGTTGAGCATCAACCTATGAACCAGGAGGTCAGGGTTTGATTCCTGGTCAGGGTACATGCCCGGGTTGTGGACTTGATCCCCAGTAGGGGGCATGCAGGAGGCAGCTGATCAATGATTCTCTCTCATCATTGATGTTTCTCTCCCTCTCCCTTCCTCTCTCTGAAATAAATAAAAACATATTAAAAAACAAACAAACAAAAAAACCATACGTTCCATACCTGCTTAAAAACTTCCAAAGGTGCCCTAGCTGGTTTGGCTCAGTAGATAGAGTGTCAGACTGTGGACTAAAGGGTCCCAGGTTTGATTCCAGCCAAGCAGACATGCCTGGGTTGCGGGGCAGGCAAGAGGCAGCCAATCAATGATTCTGTCTCATCATTGATGTTTCTATCTCTCTATCCCTCTCCCTTCCTCTCTGAAATCAATAAAAATCTTTTTTTTAAGGAAACAAAACTTCCAATGGTTTCCCATTATAAACTTAAAATAAAAACATCCTACCCTACCCTGGCTTACAAAGCTTTATGTGATCTCTTTGTCTTTCCTACTTCTGGCATATCACTCTTTATGTCCATGGTTCACTATGAGTCAGCCAACTGGGATATTGAAACAGGCTATTTCCTCTCCCTGGAAGGTCTTGCCATGATCTTTTCACATCTGGGTCCTTACTGCTCAGATCTCAGTTTAGGGTTACTTCTTCACAGATGCTTCCTCTGATCATCTAATCCAGAGGGTCCACTCAGGGATTATCTATTACATTATCTTAGCTTAGTTATCTGCATTGCACTTGTGTTATAGTCTTCTTGATTATTTATTTACTAGAGGCCCAGTGCACGACATTCGTGCACTGGGGGAGGGGTCCCTCAGCCTGGCCTGCACCCTTTAGCAGTCCAGGACCCCTCAGGGGATGTCCAACAGACAGCCTGACTGGGCCTAAGCTGTCAGTCGGACATCCTTAGCTCTGCTGCAGAGGTGGGAGAGGCTCCCGCCACCGCCGCTGTGCTTGTCAGACATCAGTGGTCAGCCTGGCTTGTGGCTGGGTGGCACTCCCCCTGTGGGAGTGCACTGACCACCAGGGAGCAGCTCCTGCGTTGAGCGTCTGCCCCCTGGTGGTCATTTCGTGTCATAGCAACCGGTCATTTCACCATTTCAGTCGATTTGCATTTTGCCCTTTTATTATATAGGATTATGGTTATTGTCACTGTCTCAGAAGTGAGAAACTTGTTTTCTATATTTAGTGTTGTATCCTTGAATTCCTAGGGTGTAAAAAAGTGCTTGGCGCACAGATGATACTAAATAATACATGTTGTTTATTGAATAAAGAAAATAATATTAATAATCCAAGGTATAATAACAAAAGCTTTCAAGGGAATTTAATACTGAAATCATTTCATCCTGAAAAATTAAGTCAAATTCTCATCAAGATATATCCAAATAATTACGTTATTTATTTATTTATCTATTTATTATTTTTTAATATATATATTTTATTGATTTTTTACAGAGAGGAAGGGAGAGGGATAGACAGTTAGAAACATCGATGAGAGAGAAACATCGATCAGCTGCCTCCTGCACACCCCCTAATTGGGGATGTGCCCGCAACCAAGGTACATGCCCTTGACCGGAATCGAACCCGGGACCCTTCAGTCCGCAGGCCAATGCTCTATCCACTGAGCCAAACCAGTTAGGGCCGTTATTTATTATTTTAGTTTATTTTCTGTATTCTGAAGAAATATTTAAGTTCCATGTGCATGGAGACTATATTTCCAATGCATTGCACAGAATTTATTACATGGTAGATGCTCAATTAATATTTTTGAATGAACTTCTCTACAGGTCTACACAACAAATCCACTGAGTTTGATTTCAGATCATGTGACTATAAAATATTCTAACCTAATGACAAACATACTGGAATTCTTATATTCACATAGGTCTTAACCCTTTCAAAACACTTATTCCTGTGCTGCTGACATTGATCTAAAGAGGTGTTTTAAAATGTTTCCTGAAAAGTCTGTGCACCTTTTATCTTAAGAAAGTAAAAACAAAACAAAAAAATCTTATCACCCAGACGTCTTTCACTGGAAAAAAAGCTGTTTGGTTTAAAAGCTGAACTGCAAATCATGAGATTTCCTGGTGTGCCTCTATATTTGTGACCTCTTTTGGCAGTTTTACTTAGACTCTTTTGCAGAAAATCTTTCACATGAACCAGATCCTTAAATAATTCCAATCACAAAAGAAAAAGAACAATGTTCTCGTTACCTCTAATTATCCTGTAAGTCATAAGACCCTTTGCTGGTTTCAGTGGACAGGCTTCCTCGCTGGGACAGAAAAACAGGTAGCAGTTGGGTTGTCTAGTTGTTTTTCGAGTGTCGAAGATCATCAAGTTACACGCTTTGTCCCCTGCAATGAAAGGTTCATAAGCATTATTTTGAAATAGGATTTTCTAAAGAGTACAGCAAGCAGGAAGAACCTCATTTATTCTGGTGTCCAACACAAACACTTTTGTTCACTTGCTTGCTGACTGCTGAATCATTTCCTTTTCCTTAGTTTAGCCACTAGAAGCAACGTTTAAAGACATTGGGTTAAAAACCTGAATTAAGGTAATTTTGGCAAAACCAATTTGTTAAAAATATATTTTTTAGTTGATTTCAGAGAGGAAGGGAGAGGGAGAGAGATAGAAATATCAATGATGAGAGAGAATCATTGAACGGCTCCCTCCTGCACACCCCCTACTGGGGACTGAGCCTGCAACCTGGGCATGTGCCCTTGACCAGAATCGAACCTGGGACCCTTCAGTCCACAGGCCGACACTCTATCCACTGAGCCAAACTAGCTAGGACTGGCAAAACCAATTTTTAACAGTGCATTTAACTATTTAGAAATAAACCTTCCATTTGCTAAAATATATCCACCAAAAAAATATATAGAAACACTGATTGTGCAATCTTTATACAACTCACAGTTGAGTTGGGACTTAAGAAATGGATCTAACCCTAATGATTTCCTATAGCTCTTGTATCCTGAGGCGTCTCACACTCATATGAAGGCATGAGCCAGGTGTCCTTGGATGGAGTCAGTAAATTCAGCATCATACATACTATGCCTCCTTCCACAAAGAATCTGAGTAGGATATGGAATGCAAAGACTATTTTTTATTTTTATCAGTGCCATTTTTCTTTTGGTTCTTTTTTAGTATTTCTTTTCTTATCGTTTTTGCTTTTCTGTTTTCTTTCCTCACTTTTCACTCTTAACTTTCATTGCTGGCTTCTCTTTCTCTTATGTTCTCTCTAATTATCATGGCCTACAGTTGGCTTTGACCTCAATCTGGTATAGTCTCACATCTTGGCCTGTGACCCTTCGGCCAAGTTGAAGGTTAAGAGGCATATAGGCTAATTATTTAAAATGTATGTTCTTGAGGGAATTATGCTAAGTGAAATAAGTCAGACGGAAAAGGACATGAACCGGATGTTATCACTCATATGTGGGATATAAAACAAAAAGCAACAAAAAACAGTCCCGTCCCCCCCAAAATCAACTCATAGATACAGAAAACAGAATGGTAGTTACCAGAGGGGAACAGGAATGGAGAGGACAACGAGGGTAAAGGGAATCAAATATATGGTGATGAAAAGATATTCCTTCCTTCCTTCCTATATCACAACCATTATAGAAAGAAAAGGAAGTAAAGATCTAAGAGAAAACAGGATTTTGTTGGCTAATAAATCAAGTAAGAATCACTTGTCCAACTTTCACTAGCTCTTCTAAGCTCTGAGGGCAAGGCCTTGTCCATCTTACTCATTTGTTTTATCTCCAGCAAGGCATTAGGTGCTCAATAAATTTAGGTGGGTGTGTTTTTTTTTCGTTTATGGAATTAGGGCAGGTTCATAAACAACTGAACAACATTGTTTCACTTAGACATATACTCCTCTTTTCAGGTAATAGGTTTGGAGCCTAAAATATGCAAAGGCATGGTTTAAACCTGTGGCCTTAGTTTCCTTCAGTGTCATATGAATGGCAGCTAAGCATTTAAATAGCGTTTTTGTTTCAATATCCCAGATGCCTGTTAGAACCTAACACTGGTGGTTCTCCACCTTTTTATACTCAAACACACACACACACACACACACACATCAGTAACTCTGACACAGCTTAGGGGAGGAGAGGGCACACTTGTGAAATCTTGCCTGGGTGATTTTGTCACCTACCTTTCTACCCCATTGAGAATCACTAATATAAACTGTTGAGCTATGTCAACCAGCCACTTATGTCACAAACCACATGGAATAAAGGGTTGTCAAGGGACTATAACTTACCTGATATGTTTTTTGTCGAACAGCAAGAATTAATGCAGTCTTCTTGAGTTAATGTATGTATGGGCTCATTGCCTCTGATCCCCTTAGTAAGAGATGACTGGATGTCAATGACAACATCTTCTAGACTCTGGGTAGGACAATTATGACTGGCAGACAGCCTGACTGTCAGGAAACCAATGATTATAAAAGTGTAGGTCAAGCGCCATTCTTCCCTGAAGAACATTTTAAATTTCACTATTAAAGTCCTCAAAGGTCAAGGATAACCCTTCCTTTGGTCTTAGTTTGCATCAAGAAGATTGCACGGATGATGGAATTTCTCTCTAGACCAAAAAGAAAATCATTAGTGAGTTTTGTTTCTTTTAGCAAATCTAGAAAAGATACATTTCATTTCCTTTAAGTTGATGTCAATGACTTACAATTCATAGGGCAAAAATAAACAAGTATTTTTATTCATATCACTTCTAAAAGATTTGAGACAACCTTTCTTTTAAAAACTTGGCAAAGAACTAATAAACACAAACACGTATACTATCCTATCACTGCTTAAAAGCCGATGAGTGTTTGTGAAGAAAGAGGTACAAATAGTAGGCCTGCCTCTGAGTTTTAGAATCCTTCCTCTTCTTGCCTCTCATTGTTTTATCTCCAAACAAACTGTGGTACACCCATACAATGAAATATTATTCAGGGATAAAAAGAAATTAACTATCAAACCACAAAAAGACATAGAGGAACCTTAATTGCATATTGCTGAGTGAAAGAAGCCAGTCTGAAAGGTATAATTCCAACTATATGACATTCTGGAGGAAGCAAAACTACATTGATAGTAAAAAAAAAAATCAGTGGAGCACAGGAGACTTTTAGGGCAGTGAAACTATTCTATATGATACTGTAATGATGGGTACATATCATTATATTTGTCAAGATCCATAGAACTGTACGATACAAAGGGTGAACTCTAATGTAAATACTTTAGTAAGTAAAAAAACAAGGAAATAGTTTAAAAACCAAGAAACCAAACAAACCAGCACAAGTCAAATAACTACTTTGTTAACTGTTACGTCCAACTTTTGAAACAATAAAATTATAAGTAATACTTATATTTCTCACATGCCAATCTCCATGCTAAGCTGTGTTCTCACTATGCAACATCGTTGTAGCTCCTGGACAGCGAGAAGTACTGAAGAATTTATCTCATTAAAAATACTCAACAACTATTAGATAAGTTAATCTTCTAAGCCGTTATTATTTAGGCCTTCAAGGTCTAAAGTCAAGTTCAATCTTGTTGAAAGATGGGAGGGAAAAGAATATAGGTGGGCATGAGAAGAAGCGCCTGAGCTTTAATGCCTGATTACTATAGTCAAACATACGTGCACATAACTACTTCAAATATTGGAAATCATTTTACTCCCAGCATAATAATCTATCACCACACACGCGCGCACACACACACACACACACACACACACACACCTACAGAGTATTAGACAATTAGTAGGTTTGATAATGAATACGGGACACAAATCATACAAAAAAAAAAAAAAGGAAAATTTCCCTTCCGTGGAGGAAATGTATGTCGCTCACTAAACTATTCTGCGGGTCCTGACACGACGCGGGGCCGGTGCCATCTGCGACAGGTGCGGCCGGCCGGCCTGGAGAGCTTGTCGGGGACCCGCAGCGCCACCAGGATCCGGGTCAGCCTCCGGCGCGCAGCCCGCTCCCCCGCCTGCTCCAGGGCGGGTGCCGGAGCCTCGCCCCAGGCCAGGAGGGGTGGCGAGGCTGCCGGGGGCAGGTTGGGAGGAGGGGACTGGGACGCCTTTACCTGGCGGCGAGGGGACCCCGGAGCCTCTGGGTCCACCCGTGCGTGGACGGCTCCCACGCGCTTGCGGGGAAGCAGCGGCGACTCCGCGCGAGGGTCTCGGTGTGCACAGCAGGGGATGCTCCGCAGCTCCCACCCGGTCCAGCTGGTTTGTGGTTCGCAAGTTCCTGCTTCCGTCGCAGCAGCCGAAAGTTGGCGGGGGGAGGCGGGGGGAGGGTACATTCCGGCCCGGCAACCCGGACCTGCTTCCCAGCTACTGCGGGCGCGGTCCTCCGGTACAGGCGTGAGAGGCGAGCCTCTCCCGGCGGCGGCTCCAGCTCCGGGTGACCGCGCTGAGCCCGGGAAAGAGCCCTCGTCCCACGCGCCCCCGCCCCACTCACCCACGCGCGCACCCGAGGCCAAGGGCACGGTGAGGGGGCGTGGGCGCGAACCTCGTGGTTGCCCGAGGGTCTGCAGCTGCACCTGCTGGCTTCAGGGCCAGAGAATGCGCATGTACACAGGATGAAAGTCCAACTACCAAAATGTATATACAGTGAAGTCTGCTTCTCGCCCCTCTGTGTCCTAGTCTAGTTCCCGGCCCCACGGGCAACCACTGAGCGTAGTTTCTCCACGTTCAAGAATTTACAGTGCATTCTACCCGGGGCATAGATATGACAACCTATTTCGATAACAGGAGGCATGGAGGGTCCTCAGTTAGAGTTAAAGGAAAAAAGGTTAAAGATTCAAGATTGACATTATGGTAAAAGATAAAATTAAACATCCTTCTCTTGATAAGATTTCAGCTTGCATTTTTTTTCTATTTAGCTAATCCTGAGAGTTGTCCATTTATGAGTTAAATATTTTGTGCAACTCAAGGAAGACATTTGGGGTTCTGCAGGATTTATTGTATATAGGCATGGATAATGATTAAAAATAAAATGGTGTCTGTTATAGTTGTTAAAATGATATCCCTGCCCTGACCGGTTTGGCTCAGTGGATAGAGCGTCGGCCTGTGGACTCAAGGGTCCCAGGTTCGATTCTGGTCAAGGGCATATACCTTGGTTGCAGGCACATCCCCAGTGGGGAGTGTGCAGGAGGCAGCTGATTGATCTCTCTCTCTCTCTCTCATCGATGTTTCTAACTCTTTATCCCTCTCCCTTCCTCTCTGTAAAAAATCAATAAAAAATATATTTTAAAAAATGATATCCCTAACATTTAGCATGGTGACTGGTACTTAATGGGTACTCAGTAAATAGTTAACTAAAGTATATTTGTAGATTGAGCGAATGGAAAAGAACTACTAGGGCATAGGTGGTAGAAGTGTGTTTTTCATCAATGCTCACTCCACCCCACACACCCATATACATGCAAACAAATGCAACATTATGAAACCACTGACAACTTGCCAAGAGGTCTGACCTTTGACAATATCTCCACCTTGGTAGGTGTGAAAGAGCTTTTAAACCTAAAGCACTTTGCAATTGTAGATTATTATTCTAGCCCTGATGAAGCCAACAGCTGCTAGTATATCCTAGTTTTAACCAGTCGCTATAGGAAGCATATGTTGACAAAGACTGCCCATGAGTAATGGTCCATTGTGTGAAACTAACTCTTACTAGCTGTATTCAGAAGATGACCTACTCCTGAATTACACTAATATTGCAAAAACTTTAAAGAGTTATCCAAGACAAGGAAATTCCACAGTAATTTCATTGGAGTGATTTTCCTGATGCCACAATAGACCGATGTATAGTATATTTCATCTCTGCAGATGATATACTTGGGGGTCCAGGGTATAGAGAGGTCACATTCTTTGAATCTCCCATAAGGATTAGTCCATACTAGGCACTAAGTGACCTTTCCCTCACTTAGCGACTTCAGATTCAATGTTTTGATATAATGAACCTGTTATCACTGCAGTGATATATCATTTTTTTCAGTTATGACAGTGAACATAATTTAAATAATGATGAAAATAATGATTAAGGAACTTTTCTATTAAAATGAACGAGGTGTTTAAATTTGAAATTATAGTCATTGTCTCCTCATTGCCTGAAGAGATTACTGATCCTCTTCTTCTTAGACTCAGGAGTCCCATTTCTGTGGAGGTATATTTTTTAAAGTGTTTTACCCAGAAAACATGTATTAAACACCTGCAGGGGAAATTAGAGACCAGTAAGACACAGAATCTACCTTCAAGATGCTTATATTCGGTGGGGGAGGCAGGTGAATCAATTGTTGTGTAAAGAATAAATGACATGATGGGAGATCCTAACTAAGGAAGCCTAGAAGAGGGGCATCTAATACAGACTTCTGATACAAGGTGTGTAAGTTCAACCATTTTTTGTTTTTGTTTTTAAAGACAATGTTTTTAGAGCAGCTTTAGGTTCACTGCAAAATTGAAGGGAGATTTGCCATATAACCTCTGCCCTCACACAAGCATAGCCTTACCCATTATCAACACCAGAAAGATACATTTGTTACACTTTGTATACAAATGTAAAGTCCACATTTTACCTTATGTTCACTCAGCGTGTGCATTCGATGGGTTGGGACAAATGTGTAATGACATGTATCC